GTCTCACACCTGTCCCACACCTGTCCCCTGGCTCACACCTGTCCCCTGTCACACACCTGTCCCCTGTCACACAGACTCAGCCCTCGTTCATAAAGTGCTTTACAAAGCCCAACATCACGGCTAACAGCTGGTTTTTAGCCAAACAGCCACTTCCTGCAGCAGACAGTAAAGTGGACACTTTATCCTGGTTTATAACAGGAACTCATCGCTGCAGCACTACAGTCTGATGACCACAACCAACCAATCACATGACTCCGCGCTGACGGCAGATGTTGCTGAACATGTTTTTAAACTTTGTTACTTAAACCCAGCGTCACAGACAGAGTTTCACCTGAGAGCACGGTCAGTGTTTCATGTCCTCTCTAAGCAGCAGGTCAGGACACACTATTCTTTACTATACAGCATCTCACACACACACAGTAGCACTGCTGTGGGTGTGTGTGTGTGTGTGGTACCTTGGCTTTCTTTAGCAGCAGGATCATCTCGTCCTCCTTCCTCTGAGCTTCATCGCGTTTGTCTTCTTCACTGCTGCCAAACAGGGAGAAGGCTTCACACACACACACACACACAGTGTGAGGTCACAGAGGTGACAGGAAGTAGGAACAGGTTATGAAAGCTGATGAAGAACAATGTTTGTGACCAACCATACCGAGCGCTGCCCACAGCACCCCTCCTCCTCCTCCGCTCACGGTTACCCAGCATGCCGAGCAGCGCGAGCCCTCCACAGGCTGTGATGTCACAGCGTTGCTCTGACTTCTGACCGTGTTAATGCTCAGACTGCAGAAGCAAAAGCGAGTAAAAACATGATATGGTTGTCACGGTTACTGTCACATTACACGTCGTTACACCTGGTTGACATGTTCTGGTCGTGTGTGTGTGTGTGTGTGTGTGTGTGTGTGTGGAACAGAGCACAGGTGCAGATGTTACTCCAGCTGTTCTGCTGCTGATGTTTGTTGTTGTCAGAGATTCAAACCAGCAACCTTCCTCTGCCCATCAGCACCCTGCTGCAGTGATGGGGACCAGAGAAGCTGTAAAAGCTGCAGATTTTTGAATGGACTCTGGTGTGAGGACGCGGGAGGCTCAAATCGTGTGAAATGTGACCTGACCCTGGTGCGCAGTTTCCGGTCGCTCACCTGTGTGCAGCTCGCGGGTGACGCAGGATCCACCTGAAACTACCGAACCTGCTCAGAGTCTGCCTGAGGACAGCACGGAGAACACCGGAGGCCGCCATCTTTACTGTTTACATAACGAGCGGAAGACACGACTCCAGACCCTGCGCCTTCAAAATAAATGCAAAGAATCTCTCCAGTGTCGAATAATTGAAAAAATCGATCAACAAATATCTCCACAAATATCTCAATTTCTTATTGAGATGTTATTAAACAGATACAGTGAAAATAAAATAAAATGACGAGATTTTTACTCCATTCGTCATGAATTCTCATTTATTTTGAAAGGATAATTTCTAAGCCTCTAACAGGCGAGTTATGAGTCTGAAAGCAGGGGTCCATCCTGCAGTGTGATGGGGGCGGGGCACAGCTTACCTGAGTGTTGCTGCCAACCTCGTCCGTGTCTTTATGACGTCAGCGCACCATCTTCTGACGTCACAAAGCGCCGATGAGCTCAGACTGGTTTATTAAACATGAAGCTGAGTTCAATGCACCGCAGCCACAGATCTCAGTCCAACAGAGCCTGCGATGATGTCATGATGATGTCATGATGATGTCATGTGAAACAAACTGTGAGGAAGAACAAAAACAGCTCTGAAGCTAATCAGCCTCCAGGCTGCTAGTGTCCTTTAACACGCTCTCAGCCACTTTATTACCAGTTTTCAAAGTAAAACACCAAAGTCAACACACGTTTATCAAAGCTGAGACCAGAAAGCCGTCAGAATCAAGCGGCTGGGCTCAAACGGCGAATCTCAGTGTGGGGTTGAAAGGTCAGCACTGCAACCCACACTCAGACCACCTGTCCAGGTTTCTGATTGTGAGGCTCCGCCCAGAGTCAGGAGGGGCATTCAACAGCTGTGTCTGCGGTCGATGAGCTCGCTGCCTGTGATTGGGTGGCTGAAATCAGTATGTGTCTGAACTCAAACTGGAAGTCACCTTAAAGCTGAGGTAAAGCTGTTGGTCTCACCTTTTATTTTCCAGTTTTACCGCCACTCTGTGGTCACTCAGCATATGTCAGATGTAACCAACCAATCAGGGAACAGATGTCCCTAGCAAATGGTGGTTACTGGGGTCACTGAATAGTTTGCAAACCAGTCTGCAGGCCTGGCGTGACTGTGGCGTAAGCCAATCAAAGAAATTGTTACATCATCAGTTTATTCCAGTGTTTCAGTGTCAACGAGAACCCCTCTGACTGCTGCTGACACAAACTGATGATGTAAGACGATTTCTGTATGCTGATGTCAGCGTGGTTCATGCTCAAAACCAAGGTCAGGAAGTCTAAACAAGGTCAGAGGTCACACAAAGCCGTGAACCTTAGTGACTCTGAACACTAAGCTGTGTTCAGCTTAGTGTTCAGTGAACACACCAGCTGCACGTTTCTGTTTCTTTAAATCACACTGGCACAGTTTCCAGAGCTGAGTTTGTGTGGGGTCATTTATTATGAAAGTCTTCATTTGTCCTGATGCTAAAAAAACAAAACAAAAAAAACCCACACACACCTTTAACACACCTGAGACAGGTGACTCTGTCACTTAGCTGTCAGCGGGAACAACAAGAGAGGTCACAGGTGAAGCTGCAGGTCAAACTTTATTGGTAATGACATGATGCACACCGCTAAAAACACGGTGTCACCAAGAGCGCGATGCACAAACATCATGGCTGATTCTTTGGAAGCCTGCTGGGTTTGGAGCGCCACGGTCTCAGCAACGCCAACGGTCTCAGCAACAGTGTTGGGCTGAAACAGAATATATGTACCTGTGTTATGCATTTAAAACGTGTGTCTGGTCTTTTCCTGTGTAAGTTAGGCTATGCCCTCTCTAATGTCAGCATCCTGTTGATGTTGGTGGGACCCGGAGCCAGCACAGTAGAGCCAGCACAGTAGAGCCAGCACAGTAGAGCCAGCACAGTAGAGCCAGCACAGTAGAGCCAGCAGTGCACGGGCAGGAACGCATTTCTTACCACATTTAAAGGAGAGAGGGATGAAATCTGCAATGCAAACTCTGTCAGCAACCAAGCTGCTCTCAGCGTCAAAGACTCCAACCTAAAGAAACATCTGGAAGTACGTTCTGTTTAAAAACTAACATTAGCCGACTGCAGCTAGCTTGTTTTAGCTGTGGTAGCTACCTGGGTCATGTTCAGTCTCTGTGATGTGCTGTTGCTATCACTGAAGGCTACTCACCACCGAGCTAACACTGTTAGCTGGCGTTAGCTCAGGTTAGCAGACAGAAACAAAACACATGACTGATACAGTCATAAAAGTGCAGCCTTACCTAATGTCCACCTGCTGTGACTCGTTTATATTAAGATTCAAACATCTAGTTGGTGTTGGTGTGGAGAGTAACCTTCAGTAAAAGTAATAAATCACATTCATGTAGCTGTAAAAAGATGATAATATATGAAGTAATCAGAATAGTTACTCTCATTGAGTAACGTAACACGTTACAAAATACATTTTGGGGCATGTAATCTGTAATCTGTAATCTGTAGTGGGATACATTTTAAAAGGAACCTTCCCAACACTGCGTGCTAACAGTCTGCGCTAACAGCGCTAACAGCGCTAACAGCCAGGAGACTAGCGGGTTCTCAGCAGCATTCATGTCCATAGAGTCAAAGTTCAGACCAGCACAGGATGGTAGCGCTGCTGCTCTGTGAGATCATTGGTTGGTCGAGGACAAACCACCATGAAGAAGACATGCTGCGGTTGGAGAAGCTCCTGCTGAAGCTCAGGCGGTGATTAACATATTAAACATGTCAGGGTAGTGTTGAAAGGCCCCGCCCCTCACTCCGCGGGCCGGTGGTCGGTGAACCTCTTTAGGTGGTAGCGCAGAACGCCTCGGGTCTTGAAGGTCTTGCCGCAGCTGCAGACGTGCGGCCGCTCGCCGGTGTGGTCGAGCTGATGGACGCGCAGCATGGAGCTCGTGAAAAAGAACTCGCCACAGGTGATGCAGTAGTGGCTCTTCTCGCCTGTGTGCTTGGAGCGCTGGTGGCTGACCAGCGAGCCAGACGTGATGAAGCTCTGGCCGCAGTCCTGGCAGGTGAAGGGCCGCTCGCCGGTGTGAATCCTCTCGTGCGCCCTCCACGAGTTGTGGTAGGAGAAGGACTTCTGGCAGTACGAGCACTGATACAGCTTCTCCTTGGTGTGCGTGCGCCGGTGCACCTTCAGGTAGTGAGCGATGGTGAAGCTCTTCCCGCAGTCAGTGCAGGTGAACGGCTTCTCGCCCACGTGGAACAGCGTGATGTGGGACCTCAGGTGGGACGACTGCGTGAACCGTTTCCCACAGGTGGTGCAGAGGAAGGGCCGCTCGCCGGTGTGGGTCACCATGTGCGCCTTGAGATGGGGCGACTGCGTGAACCGCTTGCCGCACTCGGAGCACTTGTAGGGCTTGAGTCCGGTGTGCGTGCGGTCGTGCAGCTTCAGGCCCTGCAGGCTGGAGAAGCACTTGCCGCACTCGGTGCAGTGGTAGGCCTTCAGGTCCTCGTGGGTGCGCTGGTGGCACCGCATGCCGCTCAGCAGCTTGAAGGCTTTGCCACAGGTGGGGCACTTGTGCGGCTTCCTGTTGGAGTGGGTCACCTGGTGCAGCTTCAGGCTCTGAGGGTTGCTGAAGGTCTTGTTGCACTTGGGGCATGGCAGCAGCTTGCGGCTCTTGTGGGACTTGCGGTGGAAGTTGAAGCCCTGGTAGGATATGAACATCTTATCACAGACGGTGCAGTGGTAGCACTTCTCCCCGCTGTGAAGCTCCAGGTGCTCGCTGAGCTCGTCCTGCTCTCCGAAGCCGTCCCCGCAGAACCAGCACTTGAAGGGTTTGGTGCCCGAGTGCGTCCGGTGGTGGGTCTTCCAGTCCCTCTTCAGAGCAAAGGTCTTGTCGCAGTAGGAGCACTGGTAGGGCGCCGTGCGGTCGTGGACCTGCTGATGGACGACCAGGCTCATCAGGGTCGGGTAGGTCTTGCCGCACTGCCAGCACTGGTTGGGCTTCTGGCCCCGGTGGACCCGCAGGTGAGCCTCCAGGTGGGACTTCTTGTAGAAGCCCTTGTTACACTCGTGGCAGTACACCATCTTCCTGCCCGTGTTGGTGGCCTGCTGCTGCCGCTGCCTCCGTTCAATGAGCTCGGGGTGATCACCTGCGGGGAAGCGGAGTTCAAAGGTTAGAGACGGAGAGGAACGGCGACATCACAGCCAGCAGGCATTTCATCGATCCTGCCGGGTTAACCAGCAGGAGGGTTTGGAAGCCGCTCTCAGAAAGTCTGAGCTGCTGTCATCAGACACAGAACAGGAAGAAGTTTTCCTCCAATTCTGTTCCCAACACACGGAGGAGGACATCACATCTCCTCTGTTAGGCCACAAACACACTGCTGCCTCAAAGACAGTGTATGGACGAGACACAGAGCGGGTATCATCACGTCGAGAATCGATTCGACTCAGAGATGTTGTGATTCTGATCACTTATCAGCACATCTCCATACTTTATATCCATGTATACAAACACAGCTGACAGTGTGAGACGTCATCACAGCAGACGTCTTTGTGTCAAAGTCACGGACGATGAAACATGAAGCAGGTTTTCCCGGCCTGGCTTTTTATAGCAGACTTTCAAAATAAAACCGTGACTCAACATTACCTGATGCTGAGAGTTCTTTGACCTTTAACCTCAGATTCTGCTGTTTCTGATAAAATATGTTTATGATGTCACTTTTTCAAACTAAAAACTGATTTGAATCAGAGAATCGATCACTAAAACCAAGTTACCGGTTTCCTCCTCTCTGAGGGAGTTCCTCCGTCCTACGATCCTCCTGCTGCTGCTGCTGTCTAAATAACCTGCAGCTGAAGCAGTGATGCAGAAATCTGAGGCATGGCTGAGTGATAGGAGATCATCACTGTGACGTCTCTAGTTTCACAGCTTGTTTCCCTTCCTGTCACTTTCTTTGTTGCTTCAGTCGCCTGAATTAAAGGGGAAGTTTCCATCTGAGACATCTGAATGTCTGACCGGAATAAACGGGATTGGGACTTCTGCTCAGACAAAGCAGCCACACATATCTGATATTTTAATCATGAATTACCCAAAGACAGGAAGTCCCGCCCCTC